GCTGGAAGCATGAGACATTTTTTGCAAAATTTTAAGTGATGGATTTTTTTTTTACAAAATATTAACTTATGGGTCAAATTTTGACATTTATAAAAATTTGAAATCATGATTTGGAATGTCAAAGCATGCTTTTTGGAGAATTTGGGATATGAAATCATGATATGGAATTGCATGTACAAACGTAAGCTTAGTTTGTCTAAAGAGAGGAGATATCCCACTGGACTAACACAACCCACACTCATGGAGATAAGCAGCAGAAAAGGATAGGTGCAGAACTCATAATCACATTTAAGAGACAATTGATAGCTTCAACCTTACATGATCACATGGAGTTAAAAAGATACCTCCACTGCTTGAAGCGGGTGAAGGTGGGGATATTTCTGGTTCAGCATCATTGATAAAGCTATCATCATACTTGTCATCATCACTGTCATGGCAGGATTCCCCTGTTTCCGTGTCTGCAATATCCTCTCCATATGACTCTGTATCACTGTTTACATTTGCTCGCCGACTATTTCCCACATAGTAACCAGTCAAATAAACAGTTCTAGGACCAAGAACAGAAAAAACCACATCTTCTGCCTCCTCAAACTCTAAATCCAAATGGCACGACTCTGTCTTGTTAGGTAACAAAGCGCAGAGGAAAACAGGACTCTTGTTCCCCACATTACACTGTACCAAACTTTTAGTTTCAGCATTCCCAATTCCCAATGTTGCCTAAAAGGACACAACATGCAAAGCAAGAAGCTAAAGTGGTTAATCTCCCGGTCATCCTTAATAAGAAATGAATACGCATCACAAATATAATTCAACTCAAATGAAAGCTTAATCTAGATTTTGAGCTTCTTTTAAACTTTTCCCCTTTCTTTACATCTTTTTGCTTTGTTGCCTGAAATTGAACTACTCGCACGGTTGCTCCATTTCATTCTATATGACAGTACTTGACTAACTAGAAAGCTAAAATAAGCATTAAATTGACCTCTGTGGAATAAAGGATTAGCAAACTGTTGAAAAATTAGTTTGGTAGGGAAAACATTTCATCATGTTTAGCTTGTACAGCAATTGAATGATGCCAAACAATTTATCGTTACTTTTTTGGTTAAATGTGAAAGATTACCATCAACAAACAACCACAAATCACAACCTAAAGGGCACCTAATTCCACAGCCATCTTCTAGGAAGGATGGTGAAAAGTAGGTCTTAAGTAAACAAAAAAACAGCAACTAGTTACATTTCCAATCTATGTAAAGCCTCTCTAGATCTGATTGCTTTCTTGGAATCACAGCGTACGACTATTTCTCTTTGTATGTGCAATCACTTCATCCGGCTATACATGATTTCCTTAGAATATCTTCCATTTCCTAACTCTCCATGCATGGTGTATCATAGCTCCTCATACAGCTTCTAGTATCCCCTTTTTGAACTGCTTCCACTACTTGTTCTTCAGGTTGATCAAACCTCTTATCAATTATCTATCATAGAGTGTAGCACCAGTCCGCTACATTGATCCAGCTAAACTCCATAAACAAATGTGTTGGGTACTCAGGAACTTGATGGGCACACAGGCAACAGTCACTCTCCTCCACTGGTATATTCAGCTTCAATAACCTGTCTTTTGTAAGCAGTCTATTTTGAGATGCTAACCACATAATGACTCTATATATAAGCTCAGTAGTAGCAAGTCTAGGTTGTTCTCCTGTCAGATCTAAATAGTTACAAGTAATGGAATACTCACCTCTAGGAGTCAGACAATACATCCCCTGCACATACCATCTTTTCATCCTTTCTTTCAAAGAGTTCATCTCCCTCCAATACCAATTACTATCTGGAGGAGTCTGGTAATCCCATATGCTTTCAGAGTTTCAGTAGATCTCATATATACACCATGGACCCACTTGACCCATAGTGAGTTTTCTTTTGAATAAGCTGTCGCAACAATTTATCAACCGAAGCAATATTCCAAGTTCTACATCCCTTGATATTTAGCCCCCCTAACTTCTTTGGAAAACAATCTATTTCCCATGAAACCAAGGAGATCTTCCTTCTGTTTTTAGAGCTTCCCCTCATGTACTCCCTACACCTCCTATTCACTAGTAAATACTTCTACCAAAAAACTATGAATGGAAAAGAAAGCAACATTTCTAGTCTAAAGTTTGCCTGCAGAGGATAACTGTTTGGAGTATGTCAGTTTGATTTAGTTGGTAATTTTGTCAATTTACTTGTTGGCATTGCATTTTACTCTATTTCTTGGATGAGGGGGAAATCCAAGATATCTTGTAAGGATGCTTCAATAGAAAATTGTGTCTAAGCAATGATTCGGATTTTAAGTTCATAAGTTACTCTAGCCATAAAAGATTCTTGATTTGTCTATATTAGCTACCCAACCCAGTAACATCACTGAAATCTGTTGGTGCTTCCATGATCCTATCTACTAAGTAAACTGTCTCTTTATGAAATAGCACAAGATCATCGCCAAATATAAGATGAGTCAACTGTATGTCCTTACACATTGGTCGGAACTTAAACTTAGCAACAAGCTCATTAATTTTAAAATCCTGGTAAGGTAATTCATCACCAAGAAAAACAACAGTGGTGTCTGGTGAGGCAAGATCACCTTGCCTAAGTCCTCTTCTCCCTTAAAAAAAACATGGCTTTCTCCATTTACCTTAACAGAGAATTTTGTTGGCGTCACACAAGTCATCACCAGCTTAATGAATTTCCCAGGAAATCAAAAGCCTTTTATTTCTTCCCCTAAATATTTCCAACTCACTCCCTGTAATATGCCTTCTATAAGTCAAGTTTCAGTAGGTACCTAGGTGAAGACTTCATCTAGTAGTGCCCAAGTAGATCATGACAAATCAAAAAAAATTGGATCATTGATCTCCCTTGCATAAACATTGCTTGGTTCTCAGCCACCAAATGATTTACAATAGTTCTTAATCTTGTACAAATCATTTTGGAGATGCATTTATACAAGACATTACTGTAAGAGATTGGTCAATATTGGTTCTGTTCTGTGGCTATGTTCTGTAACTTTAAAGATAAGTGCAATGATAGTGGAGTTCGAATGTTTTAACAGTTACCTTTTCTGAAAATAGTCCATGACTGCCTCAGTGATGTCCTCTCCAACAATACCCCATATTGCTTTGGAAAAGCAACTACCATAACCACCAGGCCCAGGGCTCTTAATACTAGTAACTTTAATAATAGCAGACGTTACCTCCTGTCTAGTAAATGGCTTAACGAAATCAACCAGCTGATCAATAGTTAGAAGAGTACCATTCTGAATAAAGCTAGGAGACCTTAACTCTTGTTGGAGTTGCTTTTCCTAGCAAACCAGTATAATAATCTACAGACACCTGTGCAACTAATTCAGGGTCATTCTTCCAGTCACCTTGGTCATCCCTAACTTGTATTGTAGAAAGACGGGAGTTTTCTATGTTTGATCACAAAATGAAAGTAATTGGTATTGTCATGTCCTAATTTTAACCAAGTTGCTTTACTCTTTCAGATAAGAAACTTCATGTAGGTTCGATATTTCAAACTCTCCTGCTGTTGTATCTCCATATTCCCAGGATCAGCTTGCATTAAGTGCATTCCTATCATCATCAGCCTTAGTACCAAACAATTTGAAGTCCCAAAAAGAAAATATTTTCATATGAATCTTGAGATTATAGTAGTTTAAACTTTAAACCCTATACAACATGGATTTCTAATTCACTGTGTCAATCACTAATTTATCTAAAAATATTGGGAATTGTAGAAGATCTCATTCATCCATAAATCACCTGAGAAATTCGTAGTCTTCCTCTCTCATTATTGGACAAATGAGTAACTGGCTTACCAGCTTTCACTTCAATACCTATAAAACCAAAAAAAAAAAGTAAGCGATCTTGTGATGATCGATCAAAAAAAGCTTTAGAAAACAGTTGATAAAATTTTACCCCAAAACGCCATTGTTTTAGCTTCGCGGTTGGTGAACCCTAGGCGAAGCGAAGCGAAGCGGTGATCTTTGTTTCCCCTCAAACCCTAAACTATTTATACGTGTGAGTTTGGGCGGGAGTTTGTTTCTTTGCTTTACTTAGCGCGCTTAAACTTTTATTGGAGTAGAAGTGAAGTTAAGTGCATGTGCTCCGTGTTAATGAATAATAAATAAAATTGATTTTTTTGTGTGTACTATAATATTAAAATACTATTTATAAAAAATAAATGGATCTTCTAAAAATATAGAATGTATTTAAAGAGAAATATATCACTCACAATTATCATTACTTACAAAAATATATTTTAACAAAATGATAATTCATCATCATAATAGTAATAATTAGGGAGCAAACTTATGTTGGTATTGTTATATGAAAACATGCTCTAATAATAAGGTAAAAGAATATCATTTTAATGAACATAATAATATAATATTATTACTTATAATAAATTAACAACAACAAAAAGAATTATGATAAATCATAATTATCATTCTAAACATAAATATAATTAAATTTGTGAAAATAAGATGAGAATTACAACTAGACTACAATTTTAAAGTGCAAGAAAATTATTACTTATATTTAATATTTAATATATTTATTAAGTATAATATTATTTAATCCTTAATATATATTACCATTCGATAAAAATTAGTGCTATACTTAAAAAAAATATTCTATTTATGATTTCAAGAGTTAAACAAATTTATATTTTATTATAAATTTTTTAAATATTTTGAATTATTAATTATAGGGACTCATAGTATTCTTTTACGTGATTTACAAATATATATATTTTACCTTTTTTTAAAAAATAAAATTTTATACGCAAATTTATAATTCAACTTAAACTATTTAATTTTTAAAATAAAAAAAGTGACATAAATTAAGATCGAGGGAATATTGTTTTTTTGTCCTAACCATAAAATAAACCGTTCTTTATTTTTTTAAAAAAAATCTCTTTCTTTTTTTTATCAAAATAATTTAACACAATTTATCTTTAGATATATATGTCTTTCTCCTATACGAATTCAGATGTACAACAGAGAGCAGAAACGTTAATTTTTCCGAAAAAGTGAGTAGAAATGAAGATAAATCCGCCAATGTTGTTGCAAATAAGCAGATCCTATATTAAACTAGTCAAAGCTGACAATTTTCAACTGTGGTTTGGTAGACATTTTTCTAACACTGTAACTCCAACTACCAACTCCATTGTTGATGTTTCATTAGCTGTTCCCATTTCGGGTTCTTCCATGGAATCCGATAACTCAATGGTAAGTTTTCTTTCTGTCTCTCTGTCTTCACGCACACCAACCAAAAAACACAAAGCTTGAAAGGAGCTAATTTTGAGCTGAACGAGAAATTGAAAGCTTACATTTTTATGTAATAAATTCCAAGTTCAATGCATTTTGGCAGAAGAAGGCAACTGATTCAACATGGGTTTCGAAGATTGTATTGTATTCTTTCTGGCAAAGTTCATGTTCTTGGAGAGTTCGCTTCGCCTTAAATCTCAAAGGTCTATTCTTGGTCAATCCCAAGATTGAATTTTTGTTTTAATATCCTTTCTTTTTTTGTGTGGGGGTGAGTGTTGGGGTTGGGGACTTCAACTGAATAATTATTTGATTGTTAACTTTGTGTTTTGGTTTCTGGGATTCACAGGTCTTTCTTATGAATATAGAGCAGTCAACCTTGGCAAAGGAGAACAGTTCACTTCAGGTATTTTGTTTGATTTTTTTGATAGTCATTCACCTGTATGGAATTCAGAATTACCAAAGGCTTGTCTTGAGGGCAATATTGTGTTGATAAAAGAAGATTTCCCATAGAAATTACTATAAGTAGTGGATAACTCCAGCCAAGAAAGCTATTCTTTGTGGTCTGGGCGAGATGTCTCTGCAGATTTTTAAATAGAAATAACGGTGAGTCCGACAGTCTGAAGATTGGTTAATCTAGCTCCTATCTGCTTAATTAGACATAGAGATCCTAGTTGCTGCCATATTTGTTAGAATGTGAACATTACTATATGCTATTGATGGTTCAACTTCATGGTTCTTCAGAGTCTATGTAAGCCCTTTAAGTGAAGCTTTTGCTTATAGCTCCTGAGCCATGATTACTTTTAAACAGAACTCGTATAGTGAATAGTCCTTGATTAGTGTAGTGATGAACAGAAATAGCAGTCATTCAGTTAAGAGTATGAATAAGCCTTTTGGCTGTTTTTGAAACGTATAACACTAGTAGCTTATACCTCATGATTACTATAGTGATGGGCACTGGGTAGAACTAGAAACTATTTCCGCGACAAGTAAGAGAAGTCGTTCGACTGTTTTGGATAACTCATAACATTAGCTTATGTACGGTTCAGAACCAATAAGCTGAAAAAGTATATCTTAAACTTCTTGTTAATTGCTCTATGCCGAATTCCCCAGTATAACACACATATTGTTCAGTTGTGAATTGCCCCGTTGCTTCTCTAGCCTGCTTATAATAGAGAGCTCCCCGTGGCAGGGTACCAAATATCTGAACTTTGAACACTGACAGGGTTTAAGAGAAATAGATCTAACTTCATGCAAGTGTTCAGCTTTAGGTTAAATAATTCAGGCCCATCCCTAAAATTATTCATTTCCCTTGGCATTTTCCTTGTGACGTTTCCAGCTTCACCTGACAGTAATCTCATTAGCCAGTGATATAGTAAAAAAGCCTATGCATATCTGTAACTTAGGCTTGAGGTGACTGCTTTTTGTTTATTATGCCAATAGGCAATGAGAGATGTCTCATATTCAGTGGGACTGATCAGGGAAAAGAAAGACTCATTGTAAGTGGGTTCTACAACCCCAGGAACATTCATGATTTACAATATTTTTCTGAAGTGTTTTATTAATTGGTACCAATAAGATCTCATCTTACCCATTTTTATCCATAGGACATCGTTCACGCAGCATGTCTTCCAAATCATCTTAAAATAGCAGCTGTTTCGGGTTCTGATTTCTAGTTTTTGTAGCTCAAACTATCCTCCTCTCTAAGACAGCATAAAATTGTCCAATCAACATTTTCTGTGATATGATTAAGATCACCCTTCTCGACGGAAATATATGCCCATTTAATCGTTCACTTCCTTTGGTAAGGATGCTGAGCCAGTAGCCTTTTTAAGTACTTAGCTCTCTGGTTATTGGTGCCTAAATCTTCCTGTAATATAAGACCTTTTTTAAGTCAAGAAAGGATTAAAGGTGTATAAATAATTGGAAGTCTTACTATGGGATATCCATAATATTGTGTATGTAGCGTCAGTTTATTTAAGCATTTGTATACATGCAAGCTCTTGCCCTGTTGAAAGCGTCAAAGCAGACAAATTTATCCAGGGTAAAAAAAAAGATGAAGCATAGATAGGTCTACTTGATGATATAAGGATATTCTCTCTTGATTGAGTTGGGGAAAGCCAGTTTCAACTTCAGATTGTAGAACTTTGTGATACCGGCAGCCGGCCTCTGCAATACAGTTATGAGAACTGTGATGAAGTTCTGGATCCATTAATTTTTTACCTAACACGAGCATAAACACAATCTTCCATAGCAATCAGTGTTCAGTGAATTACCTAGTATAGTTTCTGAGTTTGAGCAATGCTTCCAGAATGAATATTGGTGGTATATGCATAATTTCTTGTAGCACCGCTAATTCTGACTAATGTCTTATACATGTTTGCAGAGTTTGATAAATTAAATCCTCTTCATTATGTTCCTGTTTTGGTAGATGGTGATGTGGTAATTTCAGACTCCTATGCAATTTTACTGGTAGGATCTCTTAAGCTTATATGATCTTCTTTGATTCCTAATCCTGACACCGTCATGAATGATTCAGTTGTGTGTGTTAATCTCTTTGCTGTTTGGGTAGTATTTGGAAGAGAAGTATCATCAGAGACCCCTGTTGCCAATTAAACCTCAATTAAGAGCTCTCAATCTTCAGGTTAGATCCAAGTGCCTATGGATCCTTTCACTTAGGAAGTCCTTGAAGGGCATTATGAATTAATCTGAAAGAGAAGTCCTTAAAGGGCATTTTGAATTGTGTTGCATGTGTATGCTCATTATCTTGAGTCCATAAGGGCAAGATATCTCGAAGAATGGTGATATATATTATCTCCAAATTTATGGATGATGAACATTGACTTTTTTCATAAAATATGTTCTAAGGAGCAAGTTTGGCTGCAACTAGGATAAAAGTTGTGCACCCCTTGTCTTTCTCTGCAGGCAGCAAGTATTGTCAGCTCCAATATGCAGCCACTTCATATGTTATCAGTGCTGGTATTTCTCTTGCTCCAGCAGTCCCGTTTTATGCTCTGTCTTGTTAAGGATGTTGTTTTGTCAGGGCCATAATAATTGCCATTCAATTTTCAGAGGTACATGGAAGAAAGGGTTGGTCCTGAAGAGAAACAATTATGGGCAAAATTTCACATTCAAAAAGGTTTTGGAGGTAAGTTTCTTTAGAATTTTCCTGTCGATTCCTAAGTTTGTTCTTTGCTCTTTTCCTAACCATCTCCTAACAATTTTCTGCTACTTCACCTGTAGCTTTAGGGAATTATATCATTCCTCCCTCCAGTCCTCAAAGACATTTTTGTATTTGAGGTTTTATCAATGTTTTAATAGAATAATCTCTTCCTTGCCTAGGTTTTAAAAATTGAAACTACCATTGATTTTTAAGAAAAGAAGGTAAAAATGGGAAATTATGTAAAGCCAAGCAGGCTATGCTTGCTTGTGTATCCACCGCAGGAAATGTTCTCCTGTCAGATAAGTTTTAGGCATGTTTTATTTACCATACTCATTTAGTCCACGTGAGAAAAGAAAAGTCACCAATAAAGCTTTCAAGTTAATTCGATCTTGAGCTTTGAGTTGTTTTGGTACATAAATGCTCATGTTGTACTCATAAAAAAAAAAAGAAATTTCATCATCATGGAGTCTCTTTTTCTAATTTATTTGACATAGTTTCACTGGATTGGTTATCAAGGAGTTAGTTTTGCTTAGATATTTTCTATGTAGCGGACTACTTTTTGGTTTGTAAATATAACTTGTATAATAGGGAAATCATCAAATGAGTGGGATTTCGATCTTCTATATTATCAATTGAGTTCTTAATACTTGATTCCATAAAACTTTGCTTATGGTTTTTACATGTTCAAACTTTTTGAAATCCAATTGAACATTTATTGGATTAATTGTCATAAAGGGTGTCTCATATATCTGGATAGAGATCATATTTGCCTTAATTAGTAGTCAATTTGATTTTCATGTATCAAAAGAGTAAAATTAGTTCTGTATGGTTTTTTTTAGCCTGGCAGTGTTCAATATCCTCGTTTTGTTTGCTTAGGCGTCTGGTATTCAAATTAGACAAGATGACACTATCCTCATGTTTCTATAGATTATAAGATTCAACTAGGACTCCTTCTGTTGCCTGATGTAGTGAATTTTGTTTCCTTGATCAGTATTGTTCTTGAACCTCTTGTTTCATTGGTTCTGAAGAAATTTCTTTTGTTTTAGAGCAGCTCTTGAAAAATTGCTGACAGGTTCTGCTGGAAAGTATGCTACAGGAGATGAAGTATATATGGTATTTTGTCTAGCGCTTGTATGCTTTCTTGATAGCATTGTTTTATTGTGCACCTGAATTCTTTTAGCTTCGAAAGTAGTGGAGATAATATCATGTCAACAGTTAAATGATTACTAATAATCTTGACAATGTTATTCCTAAATGATCCCAGCTGATATAACGCGGTGAACATTGTAGGCTGACGTGTTTTTGGCACCTCAAATTGCAGTAGCTACTAAAAGGTTTGACATTGACATGGTAAGTTTATGTGGCTACTAAATGTATTTGGGTCTTCTTTTTTTTTGACTGCAACATGATAACTAGCTTAAAAATCTTCTGAGATCCCTCAAGTCTCTCTGCTTTGGATTAAACAAACTTCATTGTCCTTAACTACAAAACGAGCCAACTTGAATCAAGCTCTGGACTAACACTTAAATAGATAAGCTCAAGTACGAGCTCAAGCTTGGCACATCTTATTTGACTAAGTAACCAAGTGTGAGCTTGTTAGTGAACTTAGTTGATATGAGTTTGGCTCTGAATCTCACCTTCCCCACCAAAAATAAGCTATAGTATTAGGGATGGCTAATTGACAATAAGGTAATTGAATGCCATTTTCATGGCATTCACTTAAGATTACGTGATCATATTCATCGAATCTTTACCTTAATTGAGACAAGATTTCATTATCATTTCATGTTAGGAAAAATTACACGACAGCGAATTAAGGCCCTTTGTTTATTCAAAATTGCACTAGGTTTAAAAAATTATCAGTGTAACGATAATTTGGAGTTCTATAGCAGGCAATCAGGCACACATGGATATAGTTAGGTAGCGACATTATACATTGTGTGAATATAGTGTCTTCCTCGACTCTAAAATTAAAAATAATGCTACATTTCGTAATTAAGTAAAATCTTGCTATATTTGTTTCATAATAATTGCATAAAAACTACTATACATAGGTTGTAAATTTGTGGATTGAGATAAAACGCACACCACACTCGCGCCATCGACATCCCTATCATAGTTTACAATCATATATGAAAAATAAATATATAGCCTTTGTTTGTATATTTTTGTGTGGCTTAACATTTTACATCACACTTGTGAAAACTGAAACATGTGTCCTGTTTTCTCTCCTCTGGAATATATATACTGTCACATTCATTTAATATTTGTGAACCTAACGTGCATCTTCTACTGTCTTTTACCCCACCCCCTATGTTGCCTCACTAGCAGATAAAAAAAATCTCACATTTTGATGTTGACATTATTGTGCATGTTCAGTCTGAGTTTCCAACCTTGAGGAAAATATATGATTCTTGTGAAGCATTACCAGAATTCCAAGCTTCCTTGCCAGAACGACAGCCTGATGCTTCCCCCTGAGCTTATATTTTTCTCGGTTTTCCACCCGGTGTCCGGAGCTCACGTTAGAGCTCCGACTTAATCCGAGTCGCACTCTGCAGGATCCATTGACACTCCCAACAAGATTTTCTTCGTACTGGTTAAGGGTGAAGTGTTAAATGCACAATTGCAAGAAACTATAAAGTATCTTTTTCTTTTTAATAGAAAATCTTATGAAAGAAAAAATATTGTTGACGAATATTGTAATATGGAACTTTTCTATTATGTGACTGAGAAGCATTTGAGTCGACTGTCTTTTGGAAACAGTCTCTCTATCTCTACGAGGTAGAGGTAAGGTCTGTATATATTTTATTGTCTTTGTATCTCCCTTGTAATATTCACTGGGTATATTAATATAATCGTTGTTTTGCTATGACTGAGAAGTTAGGTTATTCACATTTTTTGTCATGCGTAAGGAAATTCAAGCATGGAATAAAATGTGTCAAAAGCTCAGAGTGATCCTAAGGTGTAAATATCTTAATCTTTAATTTTGTAGGTCCACATTTTCTATGCAAATATATTGATTTTTATACTGTTTAGTAATTAAAAAAAAAACTCACAATGTTTACTACTCTCTGTTTAATAATAATTGGACACTATATTATTTTTGAATGTCTTATAATATTTGTCCATTTTATGAGATCAATACATTTATTATGTTCAGTGGGTAATATAGTAAAATTACCTTTTACTTATAGTTTTTTAAAAGTGTATAAAATTATTAGCAGACAAATATTAAGGTCCTACTATCTATGAACTTATTTTATTAATAATATTTTAACTCTTTTCGACCTACGTGGCATTATTTTGTGGATCCAATGTTGTTTGATTTTTTTTTCAAACTAGTGCCATGTAGGCCAAAAAGTATAGAAAATTACTTATATAAAATAAGTTTAGGGGATAATAGGACCTCAGTATAGGATAAATGTGCTTATGAGATTTCGAGATAGGTTAAAGGGATAGTTATGCATTTTCTCAATTTTCTTTTAAAAACTTAATTAAACCACATCGCATTTTTTTAATTTAAAAAAATAATACTTTTTAATCATCCAAAAAATTAACCAAACAAGTTATAAAATCTGTTAGCTAATTCACAATCCGAATTTTTATTTTCCAGATCTCATAAATATAAAAACTCCTCTAAATAAAACGTTTAAAGCACATGCCGTAAATCGTAAATGGGGGGCTGAGAAAATGGGGTGCAAAGGAGGTGCTTTCGATTGGGACCTTCCTTTTTTGTCCAAACGGGCCCTTAAGTTTTCTCATGACGTTGCTATTATATTATTATTATTATTATTATTATTATTATGTCAGTGTCTGGGTTACCATCCACACACGTTGCTTTTAGAAAAGAAAGTCCGAACATGTTTTAATAGAAATATTTTATCATGTGTTTAAATATTCAATTACAAGTGTTTAAATGAAATTTCATTAAAAATATTTAAAAAATTATCAGTTTATGAAACATATGCAGATAACAGTAGACAAACTTTAATGTATTCTTAGAATAAGTAAAATAGTTCAATTCATATCCTTCGTTACTAATTGATTTATTTACGTAACTTACTCTTATGTGCTTTACTTATAAGGGTTCTTTGTTATAGAATTTGAAATGAAAATTGAAAAAGGATTAAAAAAAAAAAGAATTGTGCTTAACATATTAAAAGTTACGCACAAATATCATTCTTTCAATTCGCTTATAGAATTTAATTATCCCCCTTTTCATCTACTTAATCAAAAACGTCTTTAATATCATAATAATGATTCTAAAATATCATCGTTTCCTTTATAATTTGATATTATCATGTGAATGAAGAGGCTATGAACTTTAGTGATAATTTCCATATTTCAACTGAAATGTTACACTTCATAAATTGGTGATTAGTTTGATCTTCCAAAAGGTTTGAGAAATATTATTTTTCAATTATTTTGTTATGATCATTGATTAAGAAAATCGAAAAAATTTATTATTTTTAAGAAATAAATTTTTAAATATATATATATTTTTTCATCATAAAAGTACATTAGACGTTGAAAATAGAATGTGATTATCTCAAAAGAAACTTTGGCATAACCATATGCAATCATTGTAAATTAAATTAATTCCCACATCAGTTTGTACTTGGATCCAATTTGGGAAAACGTATTTGACTGTTGAGTAGCATTAATTAATACAATGTATCTTTCATTTGTCCCTAATTACTTCATTTTTAAATTGCTATACTTATTTTAAAAAAATTGATATTGTGAATTTTTATTATTTTACCCATATTGATTAAGAAGTAGATGAATTAAAAACTTAAAATTTTAAAAAAGTTTTATATTTTTCAAAATAATTAAAAATATAAAAAATAAAGACAAATAATTAAAATAACTAAAAATATTGACAAATAATTAAAAACGGAGGGAGTATGATCTTCGTATAATATTAATATTTCTTGATTGTTGTTACAGATTATTAATTAGTAGTCTCTATTATTAGCCGTTTATTTATATTTTATACTATATAATCAAGAAGAGACACATAACAGTATATTCACCATGACTGACATATTTTTATGAATTTAAGGTATTCAAATTTAGTCTGACATCTAATATGAATTGAGAAACACTAGATGGGAAGAACAAAAATACATTTTCTATGTCATGTTCTTAAATATACACATCAAGTCATAATTAAATATACACATTAAGTCTAGTATGTCATCCCCAGCATAAATATACACATTAATCTTAGTTGAGATAGGTATGAGGTTTTGTAGTTTATTAAGATAAATACATATATTTAAGGGTAGGTGATATATTTTAAGAATTAACTTTTTTTTTTGGTTAAGAGTTAACTTATTCATGTAATGGATGATAGAGAACACATATGTAAACTAAAAGAATTTAATAAGAATATTTTGTTTAATTAAATGCTTAATAGAAAAACTTAATTCAAGTGTTTAAAAAGAATTTTAAAAAATTAAAGAATTACTTGTTACGATCGTATGTATTTACAATCGAAATTTAAACCGAAAATATTAATATGAACACTGTATAAAGAATTTAGATGTTTAGTTGCAATTTGCAGTTTATAATTTAAGTGTCGAAATAATTTGTTTATTTGTTGATGTATTTAAATACTCAAATACACTGAAAATGACACCAATAAACATGATCACAAAAAATCATTATATTAAAATATTAATTTATTCATAGGTGAATGATTATGAGTACGTAATAAAAATATATTCTCTTTACTCATAACTTATAGATTAGTTAACATCCCAACAGGTAGAGATCATAAAAGATATGTTTCACTAATTAATAACATCTATATCTAAATATCATAGTATAAAATACTAATATTACGTAGATTAATAAATAAAGTCTGTGTATTAATCAAGTTTTATATATAATCATTGTTTCGTTTATGAAGGGCAATTTTAAGCTGAAAAATAATCTTAACATTTAATTTAATACATGGAAGGAGGATAAACTATTTTTAGTGTGGTATGATAATTTAATCTAGTAGATAAAATAGGAACAAATTTAATTCAATTTTTTGGTCATTTCTAATACACATGGGATATTTACTACTACTATTTTTCAAAGTTGAATTAATCTCTGATTAGCCGAATAAAACAAAGGAAAAATTACATGAATTAATATATTTTTAGAAATAAAAACTGATTTTAGTGATACTTTTTTATTTATTATCATTTATAGCAATATTGTGTGATAAATCTGTAATATATATTAAAAGTGAATTATGTATGCAGTATATTTGAATTATAATTGTTTTTGAAATATATTATGTTTGTTTGGTAAAAAATTGTCATATTGTATTAGAAGTGTATTAAAATGTGTGATAAATGTATTATCTATCATTAAAATTTGTATTATGAATAATAAATTTATCTTTGTAATATGTATTAAACTTGTGTTATAAATGGATTGAAAGTGGTCAAGTGAAAAAAAATGTTATTGCTATAAATGGTAAATATTTTTAAAACTTGATTATTTTTTATTTATTTATAATACAAGTTTAATACATATTACAAAGAACAATTTATTATTCACATATAATACAAATTTTAATGATGAATAATACATTTATCACACATTTTAATACACTTATAATACAATGTGACAATTTTTTACCAAACAAACATAATATATTTTAAAAAACAATTATAATTCATATATATTACATACATAATTCACTTTTAATGCATATTATAGATTTAACAAATCATTGCTATAAATGGTAATAAACAAAAAATATTGCTAAAATTAATAATTATTTTCTAAAATATATTAATTTATATAATTTTTCCGAGTTTACGTGGCTAAATATTAGCCCAAAATATTTTTAAAAACCTCGACTCCTTTATTCTGTAAAAATAATTCTGCTACGTACAAGTAAATCACTTTTAGGGGTCTAATTGAAATATATTCATGAATAATTAGGAATGACAATTAAGACAAAATCGATAGGACAAACTCTTAGACTGGTTGATCAAAAATATATTCGGTGAATTTAGAAAAAAATATTTGATAAATGGTGTTTGATTATATAACTTATCATTACATGATAAATATATTTATCAAAGGGAAAATCTTTTTGATCAGAATGATTTTTTTAATGTTTTTTCATCTTTTAAAATACTTTTATCATTTTAATTTTAATATTTTTAACTAAAAATAGTTTATTTTAAAATAAAAATATTATAATTTTTAATTTTCTAATCACATTCAACCAAATTTTCAAGTCATTCACCACTTTCTTTTGTCAAATATCTCAAGACTTCTAGTATTTTAAAAAATTAGTATTCAGGCCAAGTTGTAACACTCAGTAATTTTTAAAAATTTAAGAATTATTCTAAAACTTTTATATTTTGTCTATCAAATTACTCGATTAATAACTACGTGATAATTATTCTTCTCTGCTATCTACAAAATGTGGCAAAAAAAAAGTTCTTTTTAATTGATTATAATTCATCCTAAATCATTGACAAATTTAAGTATATGATTAGAGTATTTTTTTTTGCTCATATTGTTATTTTATTGTTATTGATTATTATTAATTATGTTATAAAATTATTTTTTGAAAACATATTCATTAAATGATAATACAAACTTGAAGGCATGTTCAATCATTTTTAAAACTTATAAGGATATAAATTATATATTTTAAAATCATCAAATATTTCTCATAAAACTTATAATTAAATATATGGTGAAACTTTACCAAAAAATAATTTATCCAAAATATTTAAAAATTTGAGGCAAAAACACTAGCTTAATGAAACAAAGCAAAGGTAATAACCATGGGAATGGACAAAACTTGAATTTTGAAATTTTTTAAGATAGGTGAGTCCATTCGCAATT